GTATATTATTCTCTTCAAAGTTTCTGTAATTATTCCAGTAAGGGATTCTTCCTCCTCTTCTCCAGGGCCTTCCACAGAATCGCCTTTGGAATGTTGGGAACCCAGCATTCGATCCTTCGTCGTATGAAAGCCTCTCGAAAACATCATTACTCTGAAGTCTGCTTCCTCCTCTTCGAGAATGGTACATCTCTCTTCTAACCCACTGTCTTTGATTCCTACTAACACCAGAACCAACGGATTTCTGTTGACTTTCTCCGATCGTTGGTTGGTTTGTTTGATCCACTTTGTCATCCTTCTTTTCATTCTGACTTCCAATTTTCTTTATCTGTTCCACTCTGAAAGCCTTAGCAGCTGACTTATCGAAGACTGCACTGCATCGCGGACATAACGACACATCTTCATCTTTTCCTTTCTTTCTGTTTAAAAACTCGATGAGAGAATCTCCTGATCGAGGATAAATCTCCCTCTCGAATTCTTTTTCGAATTCACTCAAATCGAATTCCATATCTTCTTCAGACACATCCATTCTGACATGTTTAGGATCAACGTCTTCAGTAACATCGACCATGCCTATAAAAGCAGAATTCGTCACTCGGACATCCTCAGTCATGCCCGTTTGGGATTCAATATAACCCACTTGTACTTCGAATGGACTTGTGTCCACCTTCATTGACATCTCTTCAAATTTCAGTCTTCCTTGGTCAATCGCATCTTGGATCGTATTCCTGAAATGTATGCAATTGTTAGTCCAATGTCCAAAAACATTATGAAATTTACAATATTTTCGACCATTCCTTTGTTCTGCCGAAGACAGTTTATGATCTTCACTCAACTTAATTTGTTTGTCTTTTAATAAAATATCGAAGATTTTATCAACTTTTGTCACATCGAAAGTATATGTTCGATTTGTCATCTTATCTTTCACTTCATTCTTTTGTAGCAGTTTACAGATATATGGAGCCCCTACTTTGAGTTCTGCTATGTTTACTTTCTCATCGACAGTTTCTTCCATATCATTTTTTGTCATAGTATCTGTCTCATACAAATCATTTACATATGTCACTCTTTCTTTTTTCAAGGGTTTCTCATATTTCTTATACCTTTGTTTTTCATACTCAATTTGTTCCACTCTTCTGACTTTATCGGCTAATTGGGCCATGTCATTCAATGGTAAATTGACTAGTTTTTTCCTAATCGAGAATTATAAGCCTGCAGAGGCCATTCTGACTAACTCATATTCGGGAATTTGAGTGAAACATCTCGACTTCATTTGTCTAAATCGATTCAAATAATCATCTATACTTTCATGATTGTATCTTTTTATATTCATCAAATCAACAAGACTTACTTGAGTTTCTCCTCTAAAGAATTGCCCATGAAAATTTATCTCCAGTTGCAGCCAATTATAAATCGAATTAGGTGGCAACGAGGTAAACCAAGTAAACGCATTCTTAGTCAAAGAACTAGGGAAATATTTCATTTTTAATTCCTCACTTATCGCTAGGTCCCCACATTCGATCTGATATCGAGCTACATGCTCGATAGTTGATTCACCAACCTCTCCAGCGAATTTGGTGAATTTAGGCACTTTGCATCCTCGAGGTAATTCTGTTTCGAGGATTGCATTTGGAAAAGGTGACACAAAGTATGTTTGATTGGGTGGTCTAAATTCCATCCCTTGTAAATTCATCCTCTGTCCTAACGTGTGGTTATACTGCATGTTATTTTGATTGTACATATTTTGATATCCTTCATTCAGATTCCCACAAATATCCTTTCTCATCTGTTGGTATTCATTCCCCGTATGTTGATCATTGTTTCGATTTCTCCTTAAAAGATATAGGGGATTGATATTGGCATTCTTGTTAGCATGATTTTCTACCCTTGTTCGTCGAGGTACAACCAATGCATCCCCGATTCGTGACATTTGATCTGCTAATATCTCAAAACTAGCTGTAGTGTTTTGAACTAATGGATTTAGGACTATAGTCAACTGTTGGGATAACATATTCACCATCTCAAAATTGTTCTCATCCATTTGTTGTCTAAGTATCCCTAATGAGTTACTGGATATCCCAGTACCAGTGTTCTCGATAGTCTCAAACTTGGATCGATGATAATCTCTATCGAATGTATATCTTCCATGTTCCAAATTTCCTCTATGGTCTAGATTTCCTCTATGATCTAGATTTGGAAGCGTCTGTTGTGTGCCTAAATTCTGTCCACTTCCTGAATTCTGAGGGATTACTAAGTTTTGAGATGTTCCTAAATTCGGAGGGACTCCAAAATTTTGGGGCATGCCCAGCGTTTGAGGCATTCCTAAGTTATATCTCGAATTCCGCTGTGTTGAAGAAGTTCCAGCCCCGCTCGTATTACTAAGCGAAAACCCAGGCGGTCTTACACTCATATATGGCCCTACATATGTTGTTGTGGGGTTTCCTATAGTTTGCATATTATTTGGTACCACCGCATTAGATCCTATTTGGGTGTTTGTTAAGGTACCTGAATTTAGTTCGTTACCCACAGGTATCGACATACTTGTAGTCGTCGATGTTACAGGCATATTCCCATTATGACTTTGCCCCCCAGTATTTGGTGAATGTACACCATTCAGACCCTCACTGTTACTCTGGTTATTTGATGAATTTTGACTCATATTGATAACTCTCCCACTCCTTAATCTCATACACTTTCGAACTAACCAATTTTTTTGTGTATTCAACACAAGACAATCCCTACCTGGCGCGCCAATTTGTTTCTGGTGGAATTTCGATTGATTTCGACTCCCGAGATGTTTTGATACTAACCAAAATTCTACCACGTAAGTTCTTTTTACTTAGGCTAACCAATTAATTTTCAATCGAAATACGTATGAGGATCGAACCTTACCAATTATCAAAAATGCTACTTTTTGTTTTTTATATTTAAGATGCAGAAAGCAATAAAACGTCGAATCGAAAAATAATACAGAATACTAAATTGCTTAAACCCGTAAAATGCGGAAACCTTAAAAGTACATTAAATGTAAATGACAAGAAATCGAAAGAACAGAAATGTAAATGGCAAGGAATCAAGATTGCAGAAACTTAACTTTCATTGAATTGAAATGACAAGGAATCGAAAGAACAAGAACATAAAATTACTGAATATAAGATGCGTCAAAATAAATTACCAAGGAAAGTAAAGAAAGCGGTAAAGGTACTCGATGAGCATGGAAATCCAGATTGCCAGAAGCTTCATGATGTTCGTCATTCTCCGGTAGACTTCTCACTACTAATTCTGTTCTCTGCCAATTTTCTGCTCCCCTATTCCTTCCTCCTTTGCTCTATTTATAGGTCATCATTCAAGCCTTCCAGGAGCAGTTACCAAAACTGCTACCACGTTCTACGTGCATATTGCAGTTTATCTTCTATGGTTTCAATACTGTACCCACGTTCCCACGATCTTCGACTTCTACCATGGTATAGAAACTGCTTCCCATATGTGCGCTTGACTGTTCTCCTTTTCACAATTTGGCCAGGGTTTCAATATCCACGTAGGTTAACCTTCCCCTCGATTTCGATTTCATCGAGAACTTCAAATTACTTTTGATTCCTTTTAACCTTAGCATCATATACCTCTAATTTCTTGATTTGTTCCACAATAAACTTTTGACTATTATTCCTTCGATTCCGACTCTAACTTTCGATTTTGTGTGCCACGCCCTTCTAATTGGCCATCGAATGGTCTCCCATCCACCTCTTTGCTTTACCGATCAATCACATGTTTCTCGATTTTCCTTTCTTTCATTTTTCGATTGCTTTTCTCGATTTTCTCCTAACACCTTCCTTAAAGAATCAATATGGTTTTAAATGTGAGTATCTCTTAGTCGGAATTTGCCTTTGATAAGTTGATGTAAGATATTATTTTTTTAAGTTTTATATTCATAGAGTTTCACTCGTGTTAAGTATCATTATTCACACCATTAAGTAGAAATGACTAGAAAGTAAAATAAATTTATTTATTATTTTATAAAATAATTTATTAAATACAAAGTTTTCAAATTATGAATAACTCATGATTTGACAAAATATACTTTATTTTCTTAGATTTTTACAATTTTATATTTAGAAATACGTGAAATTTACGCATTAACCTTCTATCTTTCTGACAAACCGGGTTTAGTCATTTCGATTTTGTTTTATAAAATAAGTTTAAGATTCATAAAAAATATAACTATTTGTTCTCACTTTTTTTATATATATTAATCTTAAATATAGAAATAATTTTATATGGTAAAGAGTGTTTATAATTTTATTATATATGACTTTTTTTATAAATGTATATATATATATATTTTTTACAACATGTTATTAATAATAATTATTTAAGAATAAAAATAAATAATTTATTATAAATTTTGTATACGAATTGTTTTAAAAAAATTAATCAAATTTTAAATAATTATAATCAAATATTTATTTTTAGTTTTAAATAAGTAATTCTCTTTAAATATTTTCAATTTTATGTAAATTTTAACTTATTTTCGTATTAATCTTTTATTTAATTTTTTATTATAATATTTGATTTACTACCAACATATATAACTATTACATTCTCAAGTTTACACCGATGCTTTTATATACGTATATCTTTAATGAAAAACATTAAATCTGAATTATTTTATTTTTTAATAATTTGTTTACATAAAAAAAGTTAAATTTATTAAATTTTAAGTTTTTATTAATATTAAATAATATTTAGTAATTAGAAAATATAAGTGGAGTAATGATTTTTTTAATGCATGTATCCTAATATCATTTGTTATAATTTTCATGTATATATCATATTTTCTTTTGATGGATTAAAATTTGTTATAAAATAATCCAATGATTTTGTAAAACTATTTTTCAAACTTGAATCTCAAATTCACCTTGTGTTTCGAGGGAGAAAATTTTTGTTCATCTACGCCGTGCACGCTTGCAACGCAAGACACGTGCGAGGTGGTTCCCCCAATTTCTATGACCATTGTTCTCCGTAGAATTTCTGACCGACCCAACACAGAACCTCCGTGTTCTTCCGATCAACGAATCAAAACCCTAAACCTGAACTTTGCCCAACAACCGTATCCGATCATGGCCACCGACGACGGCCATGATTTACTTCGCAAGCACCGTCGCTCCTTCGCTCCGGAGGACGCCGACCGATCCTCGAAGCGCCACCGCCACCGCCATGGAAGCAGAAATCACGTCGAAGAAAGTGCACGTGATTGTGAAACCGCCGATTGTGAAACTGCTCCGGCGTCTTCTTCTCCGATTCTGCCTCGTAGCTCTGGCACAAACCGTCGCGTCCCCAATGACGACGTCGAGGAGGGAGAAATTCTCGAAGAAGTGGATGGCGATATCGCCAAACTACACGCGCAACCCGATGCTAAGCCTTGGGAAATTGGCGTGACCGGAGATCAAGATATTCGATCTAATAACGCAAATCTGGTATATCCGATTCAAACTTTGTGGATTTTTTTTTGAAGCTCATTGATTTTATCATCTTATAGACCTGTTAGAAAAAAAAAAGAAAACATTATCCTTATATATTAGGTATTCGAACTTATCTCACTATTCTTATTGGCCATAAAAAAGGAGAATCTGTCTTTGCTTCTCATCATTTCTATCTCCTTCGCGTTTGTATTTTCTCTTTCCTTCGATACATTGCAGAGTTTCTCTATTGTTTTAGTGTAGAATGGTGGCTTTACAGTTAATTTGTAAGAGAGGTTACGTGTCTTTGGTATTTAGTTTTGCTCATAAACTGATGAGAACTTGTTATTTGTTTTTTATTGATCAATTGTCATTTCTTAATTAATTAGTTAGTTACTTGCATTGTGCAGAGACATTTTGTCAGGGAAACTTTGTTGCATGCTAAAGATTTGAAAGCTAGAACACAGAGGACTGTTGATGATAAATTTATTGGTCCTGATGACGAAGACGAGGACGAGGCATGCCGACGGAGTCACGTTGGCAGTGGAATACATGAAGATGGTATGGGCAATGGGCTTTCGGATGCAAAGGATGGTAGAGCTAGTACCGATTCTTTGGCCAATGGGCATCTGGATCATAAATCTTCGAGAAAGGATATGAAGCGTGGTGGGGAATATAGAGGTTTGAAGGGAAATGATAAACAAAAAGATTATTGTGATGACGAGGAGTTGGAGCTTGACGGAAGGAAAGTTGGTTACTGCAGAATCTCTTCCTCAGAAGGTGGAGGAGAGAAATATGGAAGATCTAGGCGGTCACGTTCTCGTGAGAGATATAGAAGTCCATCAAGATCAAATGGTCGTGCTAGGGACAGGTCTTGTTCTGGTAGTATAGCAGAAGAAAATGCTCATTCAAAGAGAAAGCACACTGATGAACAGGGGGGCCTTTCATATGCTGATAGACTGAAGACTGACTATGACCTTGATGATGAAAGAATGATGGCAAGCAGAAGGGAGAACAGAGATTTAGTGGTGGATAAAAGAAGGGAACACAGAGCAAGTTATCATAATCGGGAGGCTCGGGAAAGGGATAGGGATAGGAGTAGGGACAAAGATGTTAAGAGAGATTCAAAGATGGAAAAAGAACAAGAGAGGAATAGGAATATGGAGGTCGATTGGGTGCTTAGAAGGGAGAAAGAACGTGAAAGGAGCCATGAGAGGTACAGAGGGAATTTAGAAGAAGATATGAGGGAAAAGGAGGATGCTAGGGACAGGAGAAGAGAAAAGGAAAGAGATAGGAGCTATGAGACAGTGTTTGAGAGGGATAGGAGAAGGGATAAGGAAAGATATCGAAGTAGAGACAAAATAAGGGGTGGTGAGAGAGACAGGGACCGGGAGACTGCTGAACATGCTGATAGGAGTTGGGAAAGAGATCAAATTAAGGAGAGGGAGAGGCGGGATGATAGAAGGAGGCACAAGGATAGAGACACTTTGAATGGCATGGATAAGTATATGCGTCATGAGGATGATTATGATAGTCGTGATAGGCATAGAAAGCATTCAAAACAAGAAGAAATAGAATACCACCAAGAGAGAAAAAAAAATCCCTTACCCGTCAAGGTTTATGATGTAAACAAACTACAGAGGTATTTAAACATCTTTAAATATTTCATATCAGTATGGATTTTCTGTCTGCATTTATTTCTTATTGGTATGTTTACTTGTATTATTTTTCATATCTGAATTGACTAAACTGTTTGCAGAGGTCAGGATGAACAAGATGACTTAGATGAGAAGGTTACATTGCAATTGCCTGATCAAGAAGAGGAAGATTTCAACAGGGTTAAAGAGGAGAGTAGAAGGAGAAGGGATGCAATCTTAGAGAAATACAAGCAGCAGCAGCAACAAGTAGAACAAAATACAGAAAAAGAAGGAATAGGTAACTTTTTTATTTTTTTCATTTTCTTTTCGCCATAGTTTGATTGTATTAACTAGCCTTAGTTATGATGACCTAGCAAAAGTTGAAAACATCTCTTCTGTATGGTGGATTGCAGCTTAGTAATTAGTAGTTGCCTGTCTATTATGCACTTGCCAATAATATGATTTTCAAATTATTGCTCCATATATTTATCAAGAATGCCATAACGTTTAAACTGAAATTCTAAAGCATGTATCCTATAACACATTCTCCTTTTAGATGCACATGTTCATTCCAACATATAATCTTATAATGGGGTCCTGAACCATGATAGTCTCCTTTCATTGATCAAAAGGATACTTGTCATTGGGATACACAAAACCATTGCAAATGGTCTTGAATTTTATTGTCTATAATTTGAGTCACATGGTATAAATAGGTCTTATTGTCTGTTGTAATAATATATATTTTTTACAATGTGGGTGTTAGGTCTTTTTTCCATCAAGTGTTAAAAGGGTAAAAATACATACAAACTTCTTCCACAACAAGTCACTCAGGAAACCAACATAATGGGTAATTTTATAGGCAACATTATGTACTGGTCATTCATATAGAAAATTATTCATTGGAAGAATTTTAGTTTCTATGGTGGCTTGAGTTCTGCACATAACATTAATAACTCCAGTGTTTACTTTATGGAAAGAATATGACGGCTTTCAATCTTGTACACTATGGTAAGGTTTCTGTTCATGCTAGAAAGCTTCTGTGTGGGAAATTAGTTGTCATGTCTGGATAGGTTTTGTTGTATTCACACTTGAAATCCCCTTACTCCCATTTTTATAAGTTGAAACAACGGAAGAAGTAATACAGTACAGGGAATTGTAACATAAAATGTAGAAGTCTGGTAGAACCTTTCTCAAGTGGCTGCAACATCCCTGCCTCTCAAATCACAAAATTCATGCTTACCTGCACTTTTAGCTGCTCTTATGACATGTATCCCAGTAAACCATACAATACTCCCTTATCCTTGGTTTGAACAATGGTTTCTCGTGTAACAGATATGAATATTGTGCATGTCAGTGATGGAAATGAACGATATTAGGGTCTGGCTGGTGTTTAATAAACCATTTAAGATGTATCAATTGAATTTTTGGTTTAAATAGACCAGAACATAATTATAATGACACTGATTGACTGGATGTAGATAATAGATACGGATGGACTTGTATGTGAGGTTAAATTACTTGTGTTTATGGTTATTCCATCCACCCCATTGTTCCACTTTTAATAGCTTTCTAATGCATATTTTTTTTTTAACTATGGTTAGATAAACAAGCTGTAGAGATTCCTCCTACCATTCCTGACGTTCTTGATGATGTGGAAGTGGAAACATTATTTTCTGTCAGGAAATCTCCTTTGGCAAATGGGAATGTTGCTTCTGATATGATCTCTGGAGCTGTGGGCCTTGGAGAGGGTACACCTAAGGTTTGTATCAAAAAAATTTTGTTTTAAAGAAATGTCTACCCTTTGTATTTGAAATTTATTTATAACATTTTCAGAGTGAACGAGCTGATGACAAATTTTGTGATGATATATTTGGTGAGACACCAACTGGAGTTCAGAAATCAGTAAGTGTTCTGTTAAAAATCTTTTCTAACTAATCTACTCAACAAGTTGCTGAGTTTGCAGTTAGTTGATTTTGTTTCTGATTAAGGAAGCCTTGTACACTTAAAGCATTTGCTTATAACAAATTCGGTTAGGTCTCTTGTAAGTAAATATTATAAGAGGAGAACCAGGCCTTAATTTAGACTTGTAGGACTGAATTGTTTTAGCAATTATTAGTGGGGCAAGTGTAACTGCCTCTAAGCAGTTATAAGCAGAATAAAAAATAGGAGAAGATGGAGGATGGAGATTCTTTTGGATTTGGGTTTTGGGGAAGGGAGATACCAAGCTCTCAAATATCTTGGGACTTGTGTAATTTGTTATTCCTTATCAATTCAGTTAAATAAAATTCAGTCCTTATTCTCGTACCGGTTGGTGTCTCTGTCAACTGGTATCAGGAGACTATTCATGGTGTGGACATGCAACATGGATGCGAGATTTGAGGCATTGGAGAGGGGGTTTAAAGGCTAATAGCGATGTGTGAAACAATAGCAAAGAGCGCTAAACAGTTAAATGAAGTGCAGGCCTCTGAGCAAGAAATTTTTGTGAGACTGGAGGAAGAGAACAACGATGGAAGTCAAACATGGTGGAACACATTGGAGCCATATTGGTGGACGATGCACAGTGGATAGCTGGAGGAAATTAGAGATTGTTGGAATTATTAATTAGTTGTTGGAATTATTAATAGTTGTATCTATCTATGTGCCTATGTTTTCTAGTTCAGACTTCTGCCCCTTGACCTTCCATCTACTTAGTGTATATGTTCTTATAAATAATATATCATGTGAGAGGTGTGAAAAAACCTCTAAAATCTATTTTCTCTCTTTTATTTTATTTAAGTTGGTATCAGAGCGGGTTAACCTCGCTCTGTTACCACCTCTCTGAGCGACAACCAACCTCACCAATCTCAGGTGGTGATTCCTAGCGACGTGCCCTCACACGGTACTTGAAGATTTGTTTCTAGGTTTCCTAAGTTAAACCTAAAGCTGCACGTTGATATTACCAAAAATGTCCTTTGTGCTTGTTTTGTCCTTCTTGAGAACTCCTTCAATTATCGCTGAAAAGTTGAATGGAAAAAAATTATCTATCTTGGTCTGTCTTAGTTGAACTATGGTTCCTTAGCTAAGGTCTCAATGATTGATCACCTTGAATAAGATGGGAGTAAGTACCGACTGATAAAGGTGAAAAATGGAGCTTTGTTCCTTATTGTGGCAATATGTGGAACCAAAGCTATTGGGAACTCTTAGAGTGTTTAAAACAAGTCATTCCTTTTGGAAAAAAGACTCAAAATATTTTCAGAAATGATATTTAGTGCCTCTATGATTCTGCCAATAGGCTTGCCTCTTTTTGAGCAATCAGACCATGATATGATGACTTTCATGAATGAAGCTTAATTTGCTATTGAAGAACTAAAGATGTTCTTGGAGGATGAGTGACTGAAGTTGTTGAATCCAAGTTCTTTGATGAAGAGTATCAAGAATATCTTAGGTTGACATCCAATAACTGAGCACAATCCTCAAATTTCAATCCATCAATAGTTTGCATTTCACAATTTGTGGAAAGACAAAATCCATGGATAATCTATTCAGGTGCTTCTGACTACATTGATGGTAATGCAGCCTTATTCTCATTTCTTTTCTTTCCCAAGAATCCTCATTCCATTACCTTAGCCAATGGTTCTAAATCTCATTCCAAAGGGGGTGGGTCAAGTTTCTCTTTCACCTTTTTTAAATTTAAAATCTATTCTATTTGTCCCTTCTTGTCCTTTTAATCTTATTTCATTAAGTCAATTAACCAAGTCCTTAAATTGTTCAATAATCTTTGATGTCAATTCTTTTGTTATACAGGAATGTGGTACGAGGCAGTTGATTGGAGAAGGACATGGATCTAAAGGTTTATAACATTTTGAAGCTAGGTCACCTATGTCTAGTTTTGCATCTCAAAACCCCAAACTATTACATGATCGTTTTGGTCATCCCAGCTTGTCAAAATAAAAAAAATTGATTCCTGAACTTAGTAGTCTCCAAATGTTGGAATGTGAGTCATGTCAATTTGGCAAGCATGTTAGATCATCATTTTTGCAAAGAAATCTTAGTCAAGATGTAATTTTGTCTTTTCTATTATTTATTCTGATATTTGGGGGTCCAGTCGTGTCTCATCATTTGGTTTCATATATTTTGTTATTTTCATTGATGAATATTTGAGATGTACATGGAATTATCTCATGAAAAATTGTTCAAAATTGTTGCCTATCTTTATTTTCTTCTTGAATGAAATCAAAAATCAATTTGGGCAAGTAATTAAAATCTTAAGAAGTGATAATGCCAAAGAGTATTTCTCCTCTCATTTCTCTGCTGTTCTAAATGCCATGATATTTGGGGGTCCAGTCGTGTCTCATCATTTGGTTTCATATATTTTGTTATTTTCATTGATGAATATTTGAGATGTACATGGAATTATCTCATGAAAAATTGTTCAAAATTGTTGCCTATCTTTATTTTCTTCTTGAATGAAATCAAAAATCAATTTGGGCAAGTAATTAAAATCTTAAGAAGTGATAATGCCAAAGAGTATTTCTCCTCTCATTTCTCTGCTGTTCTAAATTCGCATGGCATTCTATACCAGTCCACATGTCCTCACACTTGTTAGCAAAATGGTATTGCTTAAAGGAAAAATAGACATTTGACTGAGACTTCCTGGACCCTATTACTTGGTGCCAAACTTCTAGCCCATAATTGGGGTGATGTTATTCTAGCTGCTTGTTTTCTTATTAATAGAATCCATCCTCTTCTCTTAATAATATGATTCCTTATTGCGTTCTCTTTTCCAAAGAACCTCTCTTTATATATTTTATGGTGTGTTTTGTTGTGTATGTTTTGTTCATAATTTATCCCAGGAATAGATAAACTTTTTCTTCCTAGGCTACTCTCACCTTAAAAAGGGTATCGGTGTTACTCTCTTGAGACAAAAAAATACATGTCTGCCAGTGTCACCTTTTTTGAATAGACTTCTTTCTTCCCTTTGTCTGCTCAAGATGTTACTTTTATCCAGGAGATTATACCTATTCCATTAGTTGAGTCAATTGTTCCTTGTGCCTCAGATGTCCCTGTCCTGTCATCCATTTCCCCGAACTGACACCACCTCCGCTCCTTACTTACCACCGTCAAAACCAAACGACTTGTGCGATGCTCCAAGGTAAGACCTCTTTTTCCAGTCCTTCTTCTTGATCTTCTCATATCTTAGTTCCTCAATTTGATAATTCCCTACCAATTGCCATAAAAAAAGGTACTCGTTTTACTCATAATCCTCATCCCATTTATAAGTTTCCTAGCTATCACAAGTTGTCTCCTTCATATTGTTCTTTTATATCATCAGTGCCTTCCATTACTATTCCCAAAAAGGTGAATGAATCACTTGATCACCCTGGATAATGCTAAGCCATGATTGTTGAAATGCCGACTCTCGATCAAAATTACATATGAAACTTGGTAACCCTTCCATTTGGAAAGAAAACAATAGAATGTCATTGGGTTCATGCTATTAAAGTTGGATCAAATTGTGAAGTCGATCGTCGCAAGCCATGCTTAGTTGCTAAAGGATATACTCAAATTTATTTCCTTAATTATAACGATACTTTTTCTCCCGTGGCCAAAATGATTAATATTCGTTTATTCTTTTCCATGACAGTTATTTGTCATTGATCACTTCATCAATTAAATATAAAAAATGAATTTCTTCATGGCGATCTAGAGGAGGAGATTTATATGGAGCAACCTCCTGGATTTGTTGCTAAGGGGGAGTCAGACTTGGTTTGTAAGTTACGTCGTTTTTTCTATGGTCTTAAACAATTCCCACAAGCTTGGTTTGGAAAATGAAATTTAACCACATTGTACAAACTTTTGGGTTGAAACGAAGTGAAACAGATAATTTTGTCTTTCATTGTCATACTTCTCCTAATAAATGTGTTTACTTATTAATAGTATATGTTAATGATATAGTTATTATAGGGAGTGATGTTATTAGAATAGCTCAATTAAAGGAACACTTGTGCAAGCATTTTCAAACCAAAATATTGGGATTCTCATACTCTCCATCTCGCTACGCAGTGTTTGTCGCCGAATTCGTGACTCGGCCATCATCCTTGTACTCCTTCTCCAACGCATCCCACACTTCCTTTGAGATTTTGGTACTTCCTATCTTCTCTAGGATTGATTCTTTAATAGCTCGGTACAACATATACAGGGCTGCATTATCCTTCTTACACTTCTCTCTCAACACTTTGTGTGTGGTTGCCGACAATCCTTCGGTACTCTGTGGATCCTCAAAACCAGCCTCAACTTTCTCCCAATTACTTTGGAATCTCAACAGGGCCCTGATTTGCAGACTCCAAGTCGCATACTTTTGACTCCTTTCATTAACTGGGACAAAGTCACACTGTTTGTTAGACTAGTCATCACTCTTCTTTAAGGTCTCTCACCCTCGAACACTTAAACCCTATTCTTTGTGTATATTATTGACTCTCTGTCGTACGAAAATAAGAATTACATTTGTGTATTTAAAGACTGCCATAAAAACCCCTAGTATTATCACTAGAATCAAAATAATAATTCCCAAAATAAAATAATAACTACCCATGATATCAGCAAAATCAAAATATCCAACAAACTTTAATCTAATTATCTTTTATTTAATTTTATACAACACAAGGAGTTAATTAAAGCAGAATTAAAGCTCTATCCAAAAGAAAGCTTGGCATATTTAATGGACTGTGCCCAGTGAGTGGATGAGAAGAACCAATTTGCCACCAAAGGAGGAAATTCATCAGGTATGATGAGTAGACCACCGGACAGTGACCTTCCAGAGTTTGGATTCACTTGGGAACCAATGGACACCATCCTGAAGCAATTTCCTTATTTTCACCTTGAGGACAAGGAGACTCTTTTGGGGGGAAGCATTGTTAGGCCTCTTTTTAAGTAAATCTTATAAGAGGAGAACCAGGACCTGTTAATAGGACTGAATTGTTTTAGCAGTTATCAATTATTTTATTAGTGGGGCAAGTGTAACTGCCTCTAAGCAGTTATTAGCAGAATAAAAAATAGGAGAAGGAGAACGGGGATTCTTTTGAATATGGGTTCTCGGGAAGGGATAGACCAAACTCTCAAATATCTTGGGACATATGTAATTTGTTATTTGTTGTCAAATCAGTTGAATAAAATTCAGTCCTAATTCTCAATTAATTTTTGTAGGAACATTTTTGTTTTGGGTAATTGGAAAGGTTAATACATTGCATTTAATTATTATGGGAAGTTTTAACCCCACTTAGTTTCAACTGAACATTCCTTGGAATTTTTATGCCTTACAGTTGTCTATCTACAGTTTATTTTGTTTGTTTGTTTTTTTTTATTTTGAATTCATTTTCTCTGAATATTAATATTTCTTTCCTTTCTATTAAGGGTAAAGGAGAAAGTTTACGAATTGAGAGGGGTGGCCTACATGACAATTGGGATGATGCAGAGGGTTATTACAGTAAGTTATTTATTTGTTTTTATTTACTGTTTGGATCATTCATTTTTTATTGTTGCCTGTAGACTTCATTAGTTCTTTGTGTGCATATTTACTGTTTTCATTATTAATTGATATTTACAACTTTGCTTATTTTCCCATCTTATGTATTTCTGCAAGTTCTTAAAATATAGGTTTCGTCCTGTTTGGTTTAAGGATTTTTCTTTTTATTTTATGTTTATTATTTTCAGTTGTGATTACAGGAAGCTGTTTTTTTTTTTCACCTGAAAAAGCAATTTTAGTTGTCAGTCATGGAGTGACATTTGTGATTCAAAACTCAGCCTATGTAAATAATTGGCTCTAGTGTTTTCTACACATTTTTAGCAATGACTTTTTTATCGAAGTATGTTTATATAGAATGAGTCGTTTTCTGCATCCAATAACTTCAGCTTTTGGGAAGTTAGTTCGGAAAAACATATCTGTTTTACTGTTCAATGTTATATTGCCATGTAATTTTGCAGGTTATCGATTTGGTGAAGTGCTTGATGGCCGATATGAAGTCATTGCTGCTCATGGGAGAGGTGTCTTTTCAACAGTAGTCCGGGCAAAGAATCTTAACATCAGTAATGGGGAACCTGGAGAAGTTGCCATAAAAATAATTCGTAGTAATGACACAATGTGAGTGGCCTTGGTTTGTGATATTCCCATTGAAATTTCTTCTTGTAGCATGCGTAATTTATAGTCACTATTATGTTTTGTGTGTCAAAGGTACAAGGCTGGTATGGATGAGTTAGTGATATTGAAGAAATTAGTTGGTGCTGATCCAGATGATAAGCGGCATTGTGTTCGATTCCTTTCTAGTTTCAAGTACAGGAATCACCTTTGTCTAGTTTTTGAATCTCTCCATATGAATCTGCGTGAGGTTTTAAAGAAGTTTGGTCGCAATATTGGCCTTAGGCTAACTGCAATTAGAGCGTATGCTAAACAACTTTTTATTGCACTGAAGCATCTCCGGAACTGTGGTGTTCTCCATTGTGATATAAAACCAGATAATATGTTGGTATGCAGCAAATAATATTTTCTTGTTAGATTGATTCTTTTCAAAGTAATATTAATTTTTTGGCTGTTCTGCATCTTCTCAATATGATATATCCATCATTCCATTCTTATGTTATTTCTTAACCTCCTATTTGAACCAGGTGAACGAGGCCAAAAATGTTTTGAAGCTTTGTGACTTTGGTAATGCCATGTTTGCTGGTAAAAATGAAGTTACACCATATCTAGTGAGCCGCTTTTATCGTGCCCCTGAAATCAGTAAGTTTCTTTGCTAAACAGTAATTTCATACTCCCAGTCCTAACCATTTTTGTAATTTTGAATGTTTTACGGGTTTTAACTATTGGTTCAAATGTTTTCTTTGCAGTACTTGGCTTAACCTATGATCATCCATTGGATATGTGGTCTGTAGGATGTTGTTTGTATGAGCTCTATACAGGCAAAGTTCTTTTTCCAGGTTCTACTAACAATGACATGCTACGGCTCCATATGGAATTGAAGGGCATTTTTCCGAAAAAGATGCTTCGTAAGGTAAACATTTTTTTTCTTTGTTTATCATGTTTTGTCACTATGTTTTGGGAATTAATTAATTTAACGTCTTGATACAGCATATTTTCCTGTTTCTCCACCTTTCTTCCTCTTTTGCTGCATCAGTTGTAGTTATTCTTATAATCATATTTGCAGGGAGCATTTATTGAACAGCATTTTGATCAGGACCTGAATTTTCTTGCTACCGAGGAAGACCCTGTGACGAAAAAGGTGAGCTTGACTTTTCTATTTAACTTTAATTTGATTTTGTTGTCCATGTTTGAATGAATGAATGAACAAAATTTTAAGGGTGTTATTAATAGATTGTTGTTATATTGCTTAGGCAATAAAGCGGATGATTCTCAACATAAAACCAAAAGATATTGGAACAATTATCACTGGCTCTGTAGGGGAGGATCCAAAGATGCTAGCCAATTTTAAGGATCTTCTGGAAAAAGTTTTTGTATTGGATCCAGACAAGAGGTTGACAGTCTCACAGGCGTTGAATCACCCATTCATCACTGGCAAGTGAACAATGTGCTGATTTTGACTCCCAAAATAATGTTCACTGATATCTGTACAGTTTCAATTTATATTGAGATTCTAATTATCTGGCATTATTTATGTTCTCTGTACGGCCCAAGAGGTATCAGCACAGTTGTTGGTCTGTTGAAGTGAAAAAGGGTGATATCTGGTCAGAGTGAACACTTCACTGGCAGTTCTTTCAGTGGAAAGTACTCTTTCTATTGTAAGATAACACGCCAAAGGCGGTTTCTTTCTTATTGTGTGGCCCTTGTGAAATTTAATCTTTACTAGTTTTACTTAGTATAGCTGTTTGTACTTTGAACATTGCTTTTGCAATTAAGTCTATCAAAAGTTTATTATGAGAAATTCAATTTCACATTAATTGTAACTTTGTGGTTCTATGGTGATCCTTTGCAGATGATACACTGGTCTTTTCTTTCCTCCCTTTTTTCTTTTAGATCTGGTTCCAACATTTTTTTTGGTTTCCAGATCTGCTTGAATTTTGGAGATTCTAATTTAGTTTTTCATTCAGGAGACCTGCCAATGGTTTGAGGCATCCCTCCCGTGGTTAGATGCTTAAAAGGAACCCAGTAGAAGGTACCTTGGTTTGTTTATTGGGACATTAATTTGAAGCAATAGAGTACATTATGATTTCCTTTACAATTGTTTATTTTTTTTTTCATTTCCAATAGGATAGTTGCTGGGTTTTATTTAGTAGAATAATGTGAGTTTACTATTTGCTATTTAAATCTTGGTAGCTTGGTTAGGGAAATGGGGTGATCTCTACCTTTTCTGTTTATTTCCTTTTTTCCCCTTCTGGGTGTTGCTTGCTGTCATGGCTTGAATCAGGCTGTATATTGACATTTTCTTGTTTAAGATTATATTTTATCTTTTCTTTTCATCTAGTAGTTTGATTTTTTTTTTTTTATACATTTTTGTTCTTAAATTTTTCCTATGTTGCATATGCTAATGAACTATCATTGCATCTTATTCATGCTGGTCATTCGGGAGGCATTCCATTGAAGTTTGGATGTGATCTTGAAGCAAATTCTAATCTCAGTGAGTAATTCGATTCAGAAACTTTTTGGGTTAAAGCTTGTGGAATGGGATAAAGTTGACGCTACTATTTAACTAAAGCCTCAAGATTTGATTTGGTTTTTGCTTTTTTAGGTACCATACTTTGATCCCATAATTTTTGTAAGTATGTTTATAAAGTTTTATTCCTTTCTCATATTTGGCTGCATTGGTAGTCTCTTCATGCAGTTACCTTTGATCGCTCTTAATTCTCATTCATACGCACAGTACCAAATTTCACTAATGGCAAGATCATAATTATTTCATTAAAGTTTTCAGCAGTGTTTTTGATGGTGAATGTTGGTGTAGTAAGTAACAGTTTGATTATAGTTTCTTATGGCTGTTTTTTTTTCTTCTGACTTCTAATCGTGTTGTTTTTTGGTTTTGTTCTTCCCCTTTGTGTTGTCATGACCCTCAAATGGTATTAACTTGCTGTCTGGTAAGTAACTTTTATCTTGACAGACGGGGAGGGAGGATGTGAATTTGTTGTTCAGTTTATTCATGATGGAATAGCTTTAGAAACTTCACTTCAATAATATTTCCCTGAATGCTCATACACACTTGTCTTTTCGTATTTTTTATATATGTACAGAGAAAAAAAGCCTTAAATACTTTAATAAGTACCTGTTTACTTATATTTTAGTATTTTAAAAATTGCAAACAACTAGATACTACAAATCACAACATTCTATTTCATTTCCTTAAAATTGCTACTCACTAATAGTCATCAATATACAAAAACCATATCTAAGTGTCTCTTCTTTCTCCCTTTATCTTTTATGTCGAAATTCATCAAGTAATATAAAAACAACTGCCTTGTAGCTGATTCTAATTTATTATACCTGCCTAATTCAGAGCTTGGCCTACGTGTTATATTTGATTCTTCTCAGTGCTGCATGTAATTGTGATTCGAATATATGACAGTTATTCCACTTGAATAAATGTTTTTTCAATACATTGTTTTAATTCTAGTTTCATCAATCAGTTGTGATATTTCCTTTAGTTAACGGATACTGAGTGTTTAGGATAATTGATAGTGTGCATGACATAGTCAGTATCCTACTACTAATGATGATTGTTGGTTTGAATGGTTACATTATGGGGGTTAGATCAGATGAAGAATTGGAAGGTCCTATAAAAGATATGAAAGTTAATTAAATATATGTGGCAAAATAAATGTTGCTGCAATCAAACTTTATGTGATTAATGAATCTTTTAACTTTTATATTTTGTGATCTCCTAAGAAAATTATGCACAACTTAACACATTCAATAATATTTAGACATACTAATGAATTTATTAGTTGGCTTATCCCATTGCTGAGGTACATTGGATCACATGACGCCATTACACTTGATTTAAAATTGAATTCTCAAAGATATTATTTACCATAAGATCCCTAATAATATTTTCCTCCAAAGCTTTATCCTTTTGAGGTTTAGACATATCAACAAGGAAAATAACTTATTTAAACCTATATGGAGGACCAGAAAAAACAAAAATCGGGATATGAAACAAGTCAATTACTCATATTCGAATTAATCTGATGTGTTTCACCTGAATAAAGGAATGAAGCAAAGGATGTAGATTATCATCACAAGGTGAGAAGATTGTAAAATGCTTAATTGTTTTGGGGTATGTTATTTCTTGGTTTAAAAATTTATTCCCAGGTTTGTGAACTTACGAATGTATTATTCTAATGTTTATTATGAACTGTAAAAAAAAATAATCATAGGTATTGATTTTACTTCATTTTTATTCTTCTGGTGAGTGGTGGGAAAGTATACTTGTATTAATATGAGAGTTTATTTTCTATAACTTCCATTTCCTCTTTATAATATATTTCTAGAACTGTTGAAATCTAAACCACATTTTTCAATTTACTAAGGAATAACATCCTGGTTATAATATTTTTGGAAATGTCATTTTCCTAGGATGTTATATTATACCTAGAAACATAGGCACCTTGGATTTTAGGATATTGAGGACATCAAATTTATCACTTCATTTGCTAATAGTCAATTAGAATCGTATGTATTAATCCTGGACAGTGGTGCAATCAATTCAAAACTGCTACTATGGGTTGACCCCTGTTTTGATTTTTATTTTGTAGATATCTAATCTATACCTATATACATAATTACACGCATAATACTCAAAAATAGATTTTGCCTGAAAGGCCACTTGGAATTGGTTGCCGAATTCAGACTACAAAATTGGGAGGGTTGATCGTTGTCGAGCATTCTATAATGGGGAATTTAGTCCATATTCCTCTTAAAAGCCATCAAAACGATACAGTTAAGACAGCAGAAAGGTAAATTGGGTAGTTTCTAGTGCAGCAAAAGCCCTCATTTTTGGCCACAAAATTGGCCTTTGATAGCTGCGACATCATAATGCTCCATGATGCCATTATTTGGGCTGGCCGAAGGATTTCGTACCGTGCATCACTGTAATCACCTCTATTTACGAATGGGATTAAAATTGGGCAATACATTGTAGACCATCCAATTTTCATCTATTAAAACATCTATCCGACTTTTCATAAAATAATTGGCTTATTACAAGCAGTGTCGGCAGGGTCTTGTACAATTCTGTGATCCTAACAGCTCTATAGTCATCATACAGTGAGCCTACTGTACTCTTATCTTATTCTATATGCATTTTAGATTGATAGTAGATGTTAATATTGTAAAATCCTACAATGTAGATCAATATTTTATTTGCCTTATTATTACATGTTAAGATTGTAATGTCCTACAATATGGATCATGATTTGAATGACCATAATAGTATATTATCTTTATTTTATGATTGAAAATGAATGTTGAGTCTTAATGGTGTTGATATACATTGAAACTGTGTATTCTCTATTTATTAACATCCCTATTGTAAAACATCTCGATATTATATGATTGAATTCCTGATTTCGAACGTAGAATGTGCCCAACTATATGGTTAAAACAAATCCCTCAACCGAGCAAGGTTATGGCTTAGTGGATGCACAGTGATCCATTTTAAAGGAAGTTGTATTCATCTACCTCATCTTTTGGTTATGCTGAGTTCATCACTTATTTTCAAGTATATGAATTGAAATGTTTCCAATCTTTATTGACAGGATCATTTGGTAACTCGGTTTATGCTGAAATTGTTTTGGTTTCTCTTTAATTCATTGGGCGTTGGGAGACACATGAGATGATACGGTCATTTCTTCTAAGCCCATATATTATTTTGGTTGTTTTGTAAGTTGCAAGAAGGTATGCAGAGGTAAATTTTATTTGTAGATTTTCTCCCTCTCTTTTTATAGCAATGGTGCCAACTGCCAAAGTTCCTAGCCCAATTTAAGCATAAAAGCTTGAAACATAGTAGGTCAGATATGTTATATCAACATGCAACATTACTTAAACACATAAATTTCTTCATGAAGGTTCAGATTGAAATTAGCCAAATCTACACTTTACGATATTGATTTGCACTGAACAACTATTGTGGTCCTCACACTAGCACTCCACTAAAATTCTCAACCTATTCTAGGTACCTCTGGCAATAGGCTTCTATTTATTTAGAACATGAACCAACCGACACTTTGGAGTCATTCTTTAACAAGTAACTACTAGGAAGCTGAAGACAGGTTCCTTGAAACTCTAAACTATACGACTTCTTCCAGATGCTATTTGTCATATTCTATGACTGTTATTCTTCTCTCCCTGATCTGCTATAACGAAAACTAAGAGGCTTCTTCCTGAGATCAATATTGTTTCTGCTCATACAGATTCAATGAACACAGCGGGCTTACTTGCTGGGAAAAATACTATTAATTAAATTGTGTTTTTCAATTTATCTTTCTCGCTGCCAGTACCCTTTCCTCACAAAGTTGAATCTTACCATGAACTCGTGCTTGATAAAAAGGATTTTAATTTCTTTCCCATGAGGAGC